CTCTCTCTCTCTCTCTCTCTCTCTCTCTCTCTCTCTCTCTCTCTCTCACACACACACACACACACACACACACACACCAAAAGAAAACCTCCATTTATCAATTACTCATCTACTTTCAAATGAGATCATGGTAGTTTCACCACACAGGACCTAGAGATGTCCCAAAGAAAAGATATAATTGAATAGTCTATACTGATTCATCATGATCAGAGACACACAACAGTGCTCAGATGGATAGTCTCCAAATCCAATTCCCACAGCCAGGAGTCTATTATTACTCCATCATGACCCTTAGAAGTCAGTGGAAATTCTATAGAAGAAACTGAAGCCCATTTCAGCCCACCCCTTTGCTCATGTCATGCATACGCCACACACACACACACACACACACACAAGGTGACTACCTCCATGTTTTGTAACACTTAGTTGTGGTCAACACTATGAAATCTGTTTTTTCAAAAGCATCAGAATACAATCTTGTTTTGTGACTTGGAAGGTCTGAGAACCAGAAGGTAAAGTGGTTACCCAAGAGGGCTTAGAGATTTTCTATTTCTCATTACAAATGCTTCTCTCTGCTGTTCTTGGAGAATAGTTTAATTTTCAATATATAATTTAACCCAGAACTAAGTGACGAGCCAAATACGTTTACTTGAAAAACAGACTATTAAATGACTCCTTTTAGCCAGCACCATCACATAACCATTTTGTAAAACTGTAACACCTCATAATTACACATGCTTGGGAAGGTGGTGGTTTAGGAAGGAAGGCCGCCTCTGGCAGAACTCCCTACTTTGCATCATTTACCCTTCATTAAATCATCAAGATCACAGATACTTATTAAAATAGCCAGCGCATGTAGTTCTTACAAATGTGCCAACCTGATGTCAACAAGGACTGAAAACCAAAGAGACCCTGAGCTATTTCCGTACTCAAATACTTCACACTAGAAAATGCACAATCAATTTTTTATTAAGCAACTGCTGCTTTCTGGAAGTCAGGTTTTCATCACCTCCATTTGTAAGTCACACTTATCATCTGGCTCCCATCGGAGCAGGCTCTTAAAAGCATGCCTCTTGAGAAAGGGCACAACCTCAATTTACAGACATATCCGTATTTGTTTTGTTCTGTTTGCAGTCCTGGCGGTGCAGCCCAGGGTCTTCCACCGGACAAGCACTCTGCAATAAAACTACATTCCCAGGCAACCGGAAATCATTCCATAGTCCACTTCTAAAAGAAGGCAATGAAAACATTCTCAAACATTACTTTAGAGACCATTTCTTAATTCCATAGTCCAGGCTCTGGCTACCTCCGGAAATGTTCTATATCTGCCATCCTGAAATAATAAAAACTCACCTTAAAGCATAATTAATGAGGAAATTTGGGGGTGTAGTCGGGTAGTAGGGAGTCAGTGGAGTCCTCAGTGAACATGTATTGTCAGTGTGTGCACGGCCATGCCAAGGACCCCAGTGCCTCAGATCCATGACAATGGCAAAGCCTTCCCTCCCGATTCATGTGTGGATGCTGATAGAATGTACAGAAAATGTTTACCGTAGCTTTGTCTCCTCAGCCCAGATTTCTAGCCTGAGGCTGCTTCACCACAGAGACTGCTCCTACCATGGTTACCTAAACCTGTGTCCCTGACTCCACTGTTTGCCATAACCCTGACTCCTTATTCAACTGTATATAATAAACACACTGAGCTTTGGGATGCTGCAGCTTCTTCATCAGAGAGTCCACACCAGCCAGTCAGAGCTCTCCTGTATGTGTCTGACCTTTCTTTATTCCCTCATCACCTCAGTCGGGTTCTCAAACCCAAGCCATGCAAAGATTCAGCAGTTTGAAAATAATGTCTTAAGCTTGACAGTCCAGATTTGGACCCCAGCTCACATCTACCTTTTTGTGTGACTTTTGGGAAGTCATTCAATCTCTATAGGCTTCAGATTTCCTCATCTATCAAACTGGTGGTCTTATTTGACTTTGTCCTGGACTCCATGGTCTTTTCTTACTTTGATTGCATACCTAATGTCCACAGCTGGGGAGCTCTTTGTTAATAATAGACATAACTGTATAAATCTTTTTCTCAGACTGTCTTATTTTCTGTTTGCTTTTTGAAGTATCTGTAGACTTGGAACTAACAAAACCAAAGTATAAAACAAGCAGTAAGCAAAATAGAGTCTGTCTGGTAAGTTTTCCCAGCCCAAGTGATACTAGGCATATAGTCACATGGTTCAGAATACTTAATAATGGAAAAGGTAGAAGAAAAGAAAAATAATGTATCATGGTACGCAGAACAGCAACCAACTTCAAATTTACAAATATTAAATGGGACTTCCCATTCAGATCACAGTAAGCCACTGATGTCTGAAGCTGTAACAAATGAGCTGACTGAGGGCAAAATACCACGCTCACAAGGTCTCCAGGCTACCCACCAGTGATGTACTGGCCTCCTGTCATTCCAATTGGGAACAAAGCATTGGTCTAGTCATTGAGAGCTTAGAGAAAGTGTCGGTTTACGTTAGTGCCTTCACCCTGCCCCCTAAACTATTCTCAACGAGAAACACTCTATGAAGTGATATTTACCAGTGCTCTGGTAGAGAAATTAATGCTGTGCAATTGTTAAAAGGCTTTTACTGCCATAATTGTTGCCACAATAACTCTGGGACTCAACTCCTTATTTGCTGAGCATTTACTAGAGAGGAGGAGGAATGAGTTAGAAACAGCTACTGCCACTGTTATGGAAGAAGAACCCAACTCAAGGCTGGTCATCTGAGGCTAAGTGCTCAATTCCCAGAGCAAGGCACCAAATGGAGTTCAAGGGAGATTTCTGGGTCCAGCAAGTATCTGGCATGTGGAACCATAAAGAGTGGTCAGCGCAGATGATTCTGCCAGAGAGGTGATGCCCACAGAGCCTCTACTTCCAAGGCACCAGTTAAGTTCAACAAAACAAATCCCATACCCCACTTCCTCATGGAGGCAAGGAATCTAACATGCTCTAAGTTGAGGATGATGACAAATTTGGAAATCATTGCCTTCATGGGAGGGCTCGGAAACAAAACCAACTTCTGAAAATAAAACTAGAAGTCCCATCGAGGATTCAGTACCTGTAACTGCCCCATACCAGAGGACATTGGTTCACATCTAGGCCTTTGCTTTGAACAGTCTCTGTGAACTGTCAGAGCAAAGGATCAAGCTGGCCCAGTGCAGAACTACAGCAGCCCAGGGCTCTCTGTGGCCAGCTGGTAAGTGGAATATGTCCGCCCTCACTGGTCCATGGGAACGGAAGGTCCCGTGCCTCTCTAAGGGGCTCCCCAGACACACTTTAGCCCATGGCGTGCAACAAATGCAACATCTGGAATAAAACACACTAGGAAGAAGAAAGCTAAGGTTTCACACCAACATGACAGGTCTAACAAGATGACAACTGCCAACATACACACACACACACACACACACACACACACACAAAGAAAAAAAAAAAAGCAGGTCAGAAGCCCAACCGTCACTTTACTGGCGTATGTGCTTGCGACCAGTCTGTCCCGTTTATAAATAGAAGAGGTTCCCTACTCAGAATCGCCCTATCCTCCCAGTACACTGGGAAACGACAGCATCCCCTGCAGCCAGGTCCTGATGCTGAAGCGGGCTCCACATATTCTCACTTGGTACCTCGGGAACTCCGCTAATATCAAATACCAGAGATGGCTCCAGGAAACTAGGGGACTTGGTTAAATGGTGCAAATGCAACCTACGCGTAGGAGCAAAAACCCCAACCAAGTCAGGCTCGTAAAGCAGCAGCACTCTACTCGCCATGCAACAGCAAGCACAGAAATAGAGAAGGTGTGGTACATTACCCAGAAGCCCCGCTAAAGACCGCATGTCCTTCTCCATCAGCATGTAAATCTCTTCCTCCGAGAAGCGGCCAATGCCGTGGCCGTGCATCTCCCGTTTCACAATTCCTTTCGTTATGTGGCACACGACCCACCTGAGCAGGTTACTGAAGGGACCACCACCACTAAGAGACAGCATCTTCCGGGTCTCATTGAGATTGTCCACCCACTGGCAATAAGCTAACGTCCTGGAATTGTGTGGAAACAAGTTACTACCGTGCACCAGAGATGTGGAGCTCTGCAGTCACTTTCAAAAGCATTGTTCAGAAGTTAGCACTTTCTGGAGGAACCAAACAATCGCAGTGTTTAACCCGGGGGGGGGGGGGGAGGAGGAGTCGGCATTACCACAGCAGCTCTGGTCGATGTCTAGGCTTACAAGCCTTGAGAGAACGGCAGTGTCCCGTGTTCCCGTTTAACCGAATCTCCCCAGTCATCTGCCCCCAGATGACTCCTCTGATCTTCCTCTTATGCCTTCTCACAGAAGCTGTACCTTCTCAACTGAGCTGGCAAATGCTATGGGGCGCACCGCAGCGGCAGCAGCAAGGGGGAAGAGGGCATCGCTCCCTCCTGGAGCTTAAGGACGGCTCCACAGGCAAGGGCTCTGTGCTAAGTCATGTGTTTCTATTCTCTATACTGCATGTATTTTACATTTCATGATGAAAGGGGTTGGGTTAGTTCTTACGACACCTTTCTGCCTTTTGGATAAAGTTTAGTGGGAAGGTATACCTGTCTTTGTCGATATGTCATAAATTATATGTCATAAATGTAATATAATATATTACACGTGAATATATAAATTATTTGCTCTCCAGAAAAATCAACTCTCTTCCTCAGGCTGTTTCCAAAGATTTTTAGTATTCACCCAAGGAACTGTGGGGTGACTCTTCCCACAGGGTGGCACTTGTGGCAAACTCACCCATCCCCTGCTCCCACAGGACACACACAGACAGCCAAGCATCCTATCGGTTGCAGGGCCTGTACTGTTCTCTACTTGGTTTCAGAAACCTGTACAATCTCAAAAGTGCCTTTTTTATAACTAACCATGTTGTCAGATATAAAGTAAAGGGTTCCCTCTGAGAAGAATATAACTATGAGAATATACACATGAAATATTTTTTAGTGGAAAAAATGTATTGATCACTATCTCTACCCCTGATGTGGCCTAATGTTTAGTAATGGCCTCTTAAAAAATCATAAATGTAAAAATAAAGATTATTAGAAAAAACACAAAGGATGATAGTAGGCTGTAGCTACAAAGAAATGTTATTTTATACATCAGGAAGAAAATGGAAGCTGGGGTGCATCTCAGTGGTATGTGTCGGCCCTGGCATCCACCCCTAGCACCACCAAAAAAAAAAAAGTCCTGAAATTTTTAGTATTCTTATGTAGTTATGTTCTATTGAGGTCCACTCCACTAAAAATGAAAATATACAAGAAATAGGTTTCCCTAAAGTTTTTTAATCATCCTTGAATTTTTACTAAAAAGTCCTCATTTTAATGCCCTCTCCATACTACAGCCATATTTAACTCTTCCCTCTTATCTTCTAAAAGGAATACCTACAATTCTTGTAGAAAGCTCTCTGTGTGTGTGTGTGTGTGTGTGTGTTTCATAAATCTCTCAAAATAAAGCATTGCAAAGTGAAGAACTGAATTTTGCTGAAAACAGAAAAAAGTATTTCACAGCAATATTTGACTGTTCATAGACAGTGCAAGTGACAGGCCTTCTGATGTAAAATATCTCACATCTATTCCACTGAATTCTATGCAAATGTGAATATTTATCCTTTTTTTATACCTGCAATAATCTAGTGGTGGATTTCACATTCCATTAGAATAACAAGCACCGAAATTCTAATTGTACATCATCGAAATTCACAACAGGGTTACACAATCTTTGATTGTCTGGAAATCCAACGGCCTTAGGAAAACAATTAATTCTAAACTGAATACAGAGAGGTAATAACAGAACAGAGGAGGCGCCTGAAGCACACACATAAGGGACAGATGACTCTACCCTGGAAGGTTCATGTAAAAAGAAAAGAAGCTCTGTGTTAGCCAGCCACACAAGTTAGACCCTGGGCAGAACTGCAGGATGGACAGGCATGAGCTGGAGAGGTGCCGGCCTGAAGAGACTGACCTGGTGGACCCACAAGAAGTCCAGGAGTGTGGGTTCCAGGATGCGTGTGAAGAAATCTGCAAGGCCTGTGGCAGACGGGTGCTACGGAGCAGATCACCGCAGGGCCAGGCTTAATCACTTAATTCCAAAAGGGAAGGTTAAGCATTGGGAAACTTCAGCCCGACAAGAAACATCACCAGACCTGACCTGTGGCAGTGCTGGGAGGAAGGCTGGCTAGAAGACAGGCTGTGGGAGGCAGGCAAGAAATGATACGCTGACTAGACCAGGACAGAGATACTGAGGCAGAAGAGTCCAGTAACTGACAGACATAGCGGGAAAGTGGGTGTTTTTCTCCCAGGCTAACCACTGGAGTGGATTTCACTAATCAGGGCTAGATGACACAGGGCGGAACGAATTTGGGAATGAGAGATAGGTTCCCCACTTGCATTTGAGGGCACCAAAGAGCTGCCAACTGAAGATGTCCAGAGAGTAGAAAGAACTCAGGAAACAAGTTCAGACTTTCCACAGAGAACTAGTGGGCAGGGACACGGTAGCAAGTTTTAAAACTGTGAGGGGAAAAATGAGATTATCCAAGAAAATTTCTAGAATAAGGACAACGTCAGGAAAACCATAGCTCAAAAGATAAGAAAGTGAGGCTGGAAGGGGGTATGGAGAGGAGAGAAGTCTCATTCTCCAAGAAGGGTTGGGGGAGGCGGATGTGGGTTTTATAAAGGACACAGGGCTACAAAGATTAAGCGTCCTGCCCCATGAGGACTTCTGTTTTCTCACCAGAGAAGGAAGCATGCATGTGGGCATGCGCAGGAAGTAAGGAATGACAATGGGCACAGAATGGCAGGAAAGGCAGCTGCCGGGACACACAGGGGTCCAGCAGGCACGACAGGAAGTCAGGGTGTAAGGTTCTTACCCTACAGTGGCAGCTTGAAAACATGGTACAGAAGAAACACTGCGCTCATTCAGAACTCTGCCCTAAACTGGTCTTTCTCTCTTCCCCTTTCCGCTCTGCGGGCATGCGTGTGTGTGCACGTGCGCACACTTACCCCTGTGCATGTTCACTATGTATACAAGTGAATATATTACGAGAGTACATGTGCACTCTATGCATGTAAGTGTAGAGACTGGAGGTTCCTCGGGTTCTGCCCCACCATTTCTTTTTTCAGGCAGGGTCTCTACCGACCTAGAACTTACCAGGTATAGCTAAGCTAGCTGGCCAGTAAGGCCCAGAGCCTTCCCAGCACTGAGATTACGAGTGTACACCACCACACCTGGTTTCCCGTGGGGGAGCAGTGGGAGCAATTCACTCTATGTGTGCATGCGCCCTAAGAAACCAGAAGACACCCTGTAGCTGGAGTTACAGGTTGCTGTTAGCTGCCTTCTGTGGACGCTAGGAACAGAATTCTACACTCCACTGGAAGAACCACAAGCATTCTTAACCACTAAACCATCTCTCTAGTCCCCAAACCCACCGCTTTTAAAACGTGGGTTATGTACATCAAACTGGGGTCTTCACTCCTGCAAGGCCTCGCAGGCACTGCCGTCAATGACGATTTCCGCCTACACCTGCTCTGTATTTTATTTCTCTGCTTCTCTACTGTCCCCATTCCAGACCAGGGTCAAAGAAGGACCCCACAGGCTTGTTAGGGATCAACTTCAACCAAGTGTCAAAAGTGCCAAAAGGAAAAATAATGTGTGACTCCCATACTCTTATCTCAGCTTTGACAAGCAGGGGACATCATGTTTTGTGTTTCCATGGTGTGACAGTTAAGGATACTCCTCTCAGCCAGGATTCCAGAAATGGTGAAAGATCCCACCCTATCCCTCCACCCAAGCAACTCTCATCCAATCCAGTAGCCAGCAATTTGCCGTAGGCCCTCCAGCACCTCTTCTCTGAATGTAGCTCTCACAACCCTACCGCGTCTGGCACGATTCGCCTCTCTGGGAGCTTACCTTTAGTTCATGTGGCTGTTTTCCCTCCCATTTTCCCCACGGTCCAAAGACCACGGTATTTATTCTTCTTCTTTTCCCCTACCTACTTAACCTACAGTCATGAGGTGATCTAACTCATACCAGCAACTCAAAGGGATGCCCAAATCTGTACCTAACCCAGATCTCTGTCTTGAGACCCAGGAGTCCCACACAGAAGACCCTCAGGAAATGCAAACTACACTTCCAAAACTGGACTCTTTTTTTTTTTTTTTTTTTTTTTTTTTTGCTTGCTTCACCTCATTCTCGAAGAATCCCAGCAGTCACTCTTCAGAAATTCCAGGAGATTTTTCTCCATGGCTCCCACCCAGGTGTGCTTAACATATGCTCACAGGTCAACACATTTGTAGATTACATCATATGGCAATGTCAGAAACCCCTGGACCCTCACCAAGGTCTGGCCCTTCTCAGTCTCCATCTCTCCATATGGCCTCCCATAAACCCTTCAGATCAGCTGTTCAGAAATATATGAACCTCCCCTCCCCACTACAGACTGAATGTTCATGTCTCCAGATTTCTTATATTGAAATAAGTCTGGTGGTATTAGGAAGCAGGGCCTGTGGGGTACTTAAGACATGGGGACAGTGTCCTCAAGAGTGAGATTACGGCCCTTATGAAAAGAACCCCATAGAGTTTCTATATCCTTTCTGTCAAGCGATCTCACAACAAGAAGATGGTTATGTGTGGACTAGACAGCACGCCCTCACTAAACACTGAGTCTACCAAAACCTTGGCCTCAGGCTAACTGGTCTCCATGACTCTTGGGATATAAACTTCTGAACTTCCCAGACTGCTCTTCAATGACAGGAGCCTGGATGGACTGAGACACTCCCCAAACCCCTGTTTCTTGGCTCCAAGTATTTACAGACACTGCCGCCTCTACCCGAACATCCTAACCGCCCTTACCATTGGCCACTTCAGTTGTCTTTGGCTCTATCAGGCTGCTGTTTCCTCTAGGAGCCTTGCCTTCATCTCAGCGGCGGGTGCTTACTGCCCTCCCTCAGCTCCTCAAACTCTCCCTTCCCCAACAGTGACAATCCTGGAGGCTTAAGGACGGCTTTCTCCACAAAGGCTCCTGCTAGCCAGAGAGCCACTTGAGGGTAGGAGCAAGATATCTGTACGCTGTAGTGGTCATTCACTTCACTTGCTGAAGCATGAATTGTTGATTGAACGAAAACCAACTTTAGACTGAACCAATGCTGGCTATGTGATACTTCTGAGGGATGACATGTACTTAGAAAAACAGATAGAAGGATCCATGGAGGAAGATGAAGTGGCTGGCACTGGTGTCTGCACCTTTATCGCCACTGGGAAGAAGCCCAGTGCACAGGGAGTCGTGAATTATTGACCAGAGTCAGCAGGCAAGGTCAACTGGGAAAGCGGAGCAGCATAAGCAATTAGAGAAATTTATCTTGTGAAAATCTATTTCAGAAAGCTAAGATCCTCGTTTTCCTTAGCACAACTCATGTGTCTAATCTTGCCAACAAGAATGGGGTCAAAGATTTCAAGATTTAAAACTTGCTCAAACATTGCTAAAGGAAACCAAGAAAACAGGCAAAAAGCCAAGCATCAACACCCATGCCCATGCCCAGCATCAGGGAGGCTGAGGCAGAGGGATTGTGAGTTTACATAACTCACTAGACTATGTAACACGACTGCCTCAAGGAGACCAAAACGTCAGAGTGGAGAAAAGGAGGAAAAGAACGGGGCAAAACTGTTGATCCCTGATTGGTTTGGTTTGGTTTTGATTTGATTTTTAGTACAGAATCAAACCCAATACCTTGTGCCTGGTAAGCGGACGCTCAACCTCTGAGCTATATCTCCACCATAACCTACCATGAAGTCAGGTCCAAGGCATAAATGAATACTAATATACAGAAAGTTACAAACTATTGAGTCTGAGAGCATGGTCTTCCAAGCCATAAGAATGCCCTTCACTGCCAGGCATGGTGGTACACTAATTCCAGCACTCAGAAGGCAGGGGTGGGTGGATCTCTATGAGTTCCCAGGTAGCCAAGAACAGTGAGACCCTATCTCAAAAATAAATAAATAAATAAAACAAGCCTCTCTCCCCATGGGGCTATATCCTTGCTGCCTTTTATTTATAATCTATTATACAAGGGTAGAAACTTCATGATATATGTTTTCCACTGCCCTCAAATCTCACAAACCATCCAAACAGGAGCACTCCCTACAGTTAAAACTGGGTAAGAAAAGAGAAAAGTGGAATGAATCTGTGCCATCGTAATCCGCCGTCGTGTTCAGGATCCCTGTAAACCATCTTATGCAGGTTCCCCATCTCCCTCGGATACTAAAATCACACCAAAAGCCAAGCTCCAGCTGGAGATGGCCTTAAGCACTGGAGTGCTTGTCTACCATGCACATGGCCCTGGCTTCAATACCAGTGCCAAAAGACCCTGAAACTTAAAATTCACAAATTATGGGGAACCTAGAAGCAGATTTGTATCACTGAAAATGTTGAGGGTTGTACCTATTATATAGGGTTAGACGCCTCGTAAGGTGCCTCGTAAGGTCTTCGCTGATGGCCACAAGGGGGCAGTATGTATCACTGAAGAAGCAAGGGTATTACAAAAATCAATTTCATTCTGGTAATTTGATTCTCTGTTTCAGAAAACCTCTTATACCAGTTTCCAAGCATTGGATCTAACTTAAGCACTCAGTATAAAACAAAGGAGATAAGAAAGAAAGAAAAAAAAGCCTTCTTCATCTTCAATAATAGCTTTTATAATGCAAGTGGGATATAATTATATAGATTTCAAGTGCAAGAGAAACTACTTTAGAGCTGACTGTGCTTATCTGAAGAGACCAAAGACAGAGCTTCAAAATTATGTCACGTAACGTAACAATGCCAGCTTTCCGTCACCTCTGTATCCAAACATTTTTAAAGTTTCAGGCCAAAATAAAATATACCTAAAAAACAAACCTCAGATGTTTAATAAAAAACTCTTATTTTTTAATAACTATTATTAAATAAATATTTATATATATATTATTATATATAATAATATGTATTATATATTATATATAATAATATATATTATATATTATATATATAATAGTTATATTATACCTATTATTAAATAAATATTTAATAAAAAATAAAAATAAAATAACTGAGCCAAGCACCAAGGGTTCACTGACTCTGCCCTCCCACCTCTGTAAGAACAAGAGCTCAAAGCTTGTTAACGTGTAAGAGGATCCATACACCGAGGGCAGTTCCTGTACAGGGCCCAGCTTCCACTCTGCTCTCTGAGATGGAAAGAGCAGGACAGGAGAAGGGCCAGTCCAGGGATTTGTGGTTTAGACATTCTTGTGAGAGAGGGGATACAAAGCTCCCCAGTGGGTGTGGGGGAGTCTCTACATGAAGGAATGGGGGAGGAAATGAAACAGGACAAAGATTTGTTTTCCTTTGGCTTCTAGACACAAATACATATTGTATCTCAAAATGCCTCCAAATTTTTCTAAAAGAAAGTAAGTTCGAGAAGCAATATTAGCGTTTAAGGAGGTTATGTACCACCCAAGTGTTGTAAGCTCTTGGAAGTTAATGATCTTCCTCCTGCCCCCTCTGGCTCACATCCACAGTTCGCCCTACCTCCTATATTAGCTGAGGGCTAGTGAAGAGAAGAACAGAAACATGCCATCTGTGAGCTCCTACCAGAGAATAAAGTAGTAATAAAAATAATAGAACACTGTCAGAAGGTCAGGCTCCTCATTTCCCTCCGCCACTGCAGAGCCAGGTCTGAAACCTGGCAAACAAATGGCATGAGATAGTTTCCAAAAGTCTTTCCCAGAAACCAAGCGAGCGGGACAGTCATGCATCTTAATGCCCACTGTGACAAAGCAGACCAGGCATCTCCACCAGCATTACATGAAAGGACCCAGGCTCCTACAAACACTCAATCTGTTCTCGTTCACACTGCCGTGTCTACACTCTCCCACAAGGCACCTCCCTGGTCAGCCCTCCTCCCTTCATCTTTACAGTGGGACGGGGAGAGGATGTGGAATGCCAGTCAGTCCTAGGATAAACAGAGTTTTAAGAAAAGCAAACATAGGAAGAGAAAAATAGAGGTTCGTTTAAAATCTCAGCAATAGGAACTTCCAGTTTTCTACTGATAAAGAGGGTGAATGGATGAAATAGTGCACCGGCGAGGAAGAATCGCACAGCCATTCCCAGGAGGAGATGACCACGATAGGAGGAAGCGGTTAGTAAAAGCTCCTAGGCCAAGGAATAGCAATGCTAATAATGTAGGATGAATGATGTTTAATTAAGTATTGAGGACAAAGTAAAAGTCTGCAAATATTTGCAAAAGACCTCCTGTCATCTCTAGGGGTATAGAAAAGGAGTGAAGTGCCAGAAGCTAGATGTAAGGGAAACAGACCACAGGACAAATAGGTTTGCAAAGCAAGGCTAGCCAAATGGGATTAATTCACATGGTGCTGAAGTAGCTCAGGGCCACCAAAGCAAAACAGAGCAAATGGTCAACCCAACTGTATGATGCTTCAAATTTATGTGATGCTTCAGACTCTGGAAGTATGAACTATGAATGCAGCAATCAGGGAAGAATGTTATCTAAGGAAAGTTAGTTCACAAGTGTGTAATTGACTTCACTGAGGAGTCCAGTCTCTACTTAGCCTTCCATGTCTTCCTCTGATGTCTGGTACACTTTCCTTCTTCCTGCCTTGCTTCCTTTCTTTCTTTCTTTTTCTTTTTTTCTGTTTGTCTGTCTGTCTGTCTTCCTTCCTTCTTCCCTTCCTTCCTTTCTTTCCTCTCTTCTTCTTTTTTAGACCAGGCTGGCCTCAAACTCAGAGATCCACCTGCCTCCGCCTCCTGAGTGCTAGGATTAAAGGCGTGCACCACCACTGGCAGGCATCTGGTGCACTGTGATTCAGAAAGTTGTACTAATGAGCCCCACAAATTAAAATATCTGCCTCACCAAAAATCCAGCAAACTGCACATGCAGGCTGTGAAATGTTTGCATGTGAATGTGGTTGGGAAATTATGAAAGATTGTGTTATTATAAATGAAATCCAAGTTTCAATGGACATGATAGATTTGCTGAAACAGTCTACCTATAAACTTCCAGGCTTTTTGGCAGAGCTGAGTGGTTGTGGTTGTGGAAGACGGGCTCTAGAGAATACTTGTGGAGTCCTAGTATACTTAGAGACAACAGAGAGAACTCTGACCCTAAGTCGAAGTTGTTTCTGATAAAACCTTTGAGAACGGTAAGTAAAATGTAACAAAAAATGAGAAGGTGAGTGTCACAAAACTCAAGAGGTTTGGGCTAGCTAGGGGGAGTGCGGGGACACACAGCAGGGACTCACCAGTAGAAGTGCTCTTCCACCATCTTGGTGACGGCTCTTGAGACAGCTCTTTCATGAGGGCCGAGGTTTTTGTTTAAGTTCACGCCAAGTTTCTCTTCCAGAAAGTCAATTATGAATTCTGTGCCAGACACTTTTTCATTGTTATATTCAATCCAAGGCATTTTCCCTTGAGCAGAGAGCTTTCCACCAAAATAGTTCTGGATAGCAGTTTTTAAAAAGAGGAAAGCAATGTGTTTATAAATTTCCCCGGTTAGCAGAGACAAACATCCCAACCTATGAGTGCTCACGCCCGTAATATCTACTCAAATGAGCTCAGCATATTAACTCTTTAAGATCATTACTCTAGAAGGGGAGGAGAGCCTTTTACTGAACATTGAAGTATTAATTTATTCCCATAGGTTCTATCATGAACTCAATTTCTATCTAGACTAGGGGAGTTAAGGGACTCTGAGGCACTGAATCTCCGAAAGGAAATTCAGCAGGTTCCTGGTTTTCAGCCCAAACCTTTAATTTCTAGTCTTAGGGGTGGTACCCAGAATCTGTCCAAAAAAGCTCCATTTTGATCTATAAGCATATTAGAAACTTACAGTATCTCAGAATATCTTGATCCAGAAAGGAGGTAGCCAGATCAAATCACACAATTTATTGTTAAAATTACAGTAACGTGTGTTCTCTAATGTATAAAAAGCAAAGACCTGGACCACATGAATGAGGGGGATCCTGGAGAATTTCATGTCTTCAATCACATTTCTCAATAAATAAAGTCATTTAAACTTCAAAGTTGATTGGTAGAACTGTATCCACTGTTTTGCAGGCTACATGACTTAAATTAATCTGATTGCCACAAACTCTTCCTCATACTTTGTACAAATAGGTAATGCAAGCCCTGTTAGATATTGGCAAATGTTAGCCCCTCAGAGAAAACAGGTACTCAACTACATGGCAGGGATGTTAATTGGCCAACCACTTAAAAACCTCTGACAATGTCTTAAACACACACCTCTCTTCACCTTTCTTTTTTAAAAAAAATGTACTTATTATTTTATGGGTATAAGTGTTTGTCTGCATGTGTGTCTGCACCCCATGCATGCCTGGTGCCAGTAGAAGCAAAAGAGGTCATTGGATCCCTGGAAGTGAAGTTACAGACAGTTGCGAGCCTTCATGTGGGTGCTGGAAACTGAACCAGGATCCTCTGGAAGAAAATCGTTAACTTAACTCAACCAAAAAGCCATACCTCCAGCCCCCTACAACTTTCTTCTAATTGAGCCAGTTCACCCCTAAGTATTTACTCAAAACTCAGAAAGCATATGGTCATGCAAAGACATCTAAACAAAAGTTTGAGTGGAGAGATGACTCCATAGTTAAGAAAATGCAGTGTTCTTCCAGAGGACCTGAGTTTGGTTCTAACTATAGCAGGTGGCTCACAACCCACCTGGAACTCTATGCACATAGACATAAATCAAAATAAATATTTTAAAAATTCACAAACATTTTTAATGATCAAAAACAGGAAAGATGTTATTCAGAGGTAAGTTAATAAACAAATGGATTATCACTCTGGGAAAAAGAAAAGAGAATGAACTACTTATACATAAATAATATAGATAAACTGGCAAGTACATTTGTGAGTAGAGTCAGCCAGACTTAAAAGAACTACACGGGGCTGGGAAGACAGCTCAGTAAGTAAAGTGCTTGCTTTGCAGGCATAAGGACCTGCGTTCCAACCACAAAATCCACACAAAAGGCCAAAAGCGGACTGGCAAGTGATCTCAGCACCGGGCAGGCAGAGACAAGCGGGGTTTGCTATCCAGTCAGCCTGGTCAAAATCATGAGCTCTGTGTTGGTTTGAATGGAGCTCAGGTGTTTGAACGCTTGGTCCCCAGTTGGGGGAACTCTTTAAGAAAGATTAGGAGAGGCCTTGTTGGAGCAGGTGTGTCGTTGGGGGATGGCTTTGAGGTTTCAAAAGACTGCTGGTCCCTGTCTCTGTCTCTCTCTGTCTCTGTGTCTCTGCCTCCCGTCCCCACCCCCACATGCTGTCTGGCGATCAGCATGTAAAGCTCACAGTTACTGCTCCAAAACCATGTCTGCCTCCTTCCTGCCATGATGATCGTGGACTAACCCTCTAACACTATATCCAAGCCCAATTAAAGTCTTTCTTTTATAAGGGTTGCTGTCGTCCAGGGACACTTGCTCAACTATGTTCACAGTAGCATTATTCGCAATAGTCAGAACCTGGAAACAACTAGATGCCCCTCATCCAAAGAATGGATAAGGGAAATGTGGTACATTTACACAATGGAGTATTACTCAGCTGAAAAAAATCAAACAAACAAACAAAAAGCAATGACCTCCTGAAATTTGCAGGCAAATGGATGGAACTAGAAAAAGGCATTCTGAGTGAGGTAGCCCAGACCCAGAAAGACAAACATGGTATGTGTTCACTCATAACTGGATATTAGGCATAAAGTATAGGATAACCAACCTACAACCCACAGTCCCTAGATAACTGGGATGGCCCAAAAATGTATCACAAGGATTTCCCTGGGAAGGGGAAATAGAAGCACTCTCCTGAGAAAACTAGGGGCCAGGGTTGGGGGAAGTGGGGTGGAAGGGAACTTGAGGGAGCGGGTAGGATGCAGGAGGCAGGTTGCAGGTAGGTTGGAGAGGGGAGTCATGAAAGAGACTTCTGATACCAGGGAAAACCCAGGGATCCAGAAGGATGACCCCAGCTAAGACTCCTAGTGGAGAGAGTGCCTGAACTGGCCATCTACTGTAATCAGATGGGTGACTACCCTAATTGTCATCAGAGAGCCTTTATCCCGTAACTAATGAAAGCAGATGCAGAGATCCACAGCCAAGCCCAGCTCTGGGAGTTCTAAAGAAAGGGAGGAGGGATTGTATGAGCCAAGCAGGACAAGGTCATGTCAGGGAGTGGAGGGCACAGAGACAGCTGACCTGAGCTCATGGGAGTTCATGGACTCTGAACCAACAGTTAGGGAGCCTGCATGGGACCGACCCAGGCCCTCTACACGTGTGTGAGAGTTGTGTAGCTTGGTCTCTTTGTAAGGCTCCTAGAAGTGAGATCAGGACCTGTCCCTGAGGCTTAGCTGGCTTTTGGTAACCTGTTTCCCATTCTGATTCCCTTGCTCAGCCTTATATAGAGGGGGGAGCTTGGTCCTGCCTCAACTTTGTGCCACACTTTGTTCAAGCCCTCAGGAGGCCTGCCTCTTTCTGAAGGGAGAAGGAAGAGGAGGAGATGAGGAGCAGGTGGGAGTGGGGAAGGAACAGGAGGAGAAGAGAAGGGAAACTGTGGTTAGGATGTAAAATAAATGAAAAAAGTGTTAATTAAATAAAAGTGTCTCTTCACAGCAGTAGAAGAGTAACTAAGACAACTCCAAGTCAGTAGGAGACCATGTCTCAAAACTTAAGATAGACAGCAATGGAGGAAAAAACCAAGAGCAGTCTATGGCTTCTACAGGCCACACACAAACAGTCACACACATGCTGGGCATGGGGGTGCACACCTTTAATCGCAGCACTAGAGAGGCAGAAGCAGACAGATTTCTGTGAGTTCCGGGCCAGCACCCATACAAAAGAAGTACACTGTAAATTATTCTTCTGAAACTCTAGAAAATATAAACTAATCTCCAGTGACAGAAGATCTTTCCATGGTTGTTGAGGACAACGAAGGATGGAAGGAAGTGAACTTCCAAGAAGAAGATGAAAATTTGAGAAGAAAATGGATCCTTTCACTGTGGTTTTTTTTTTGTTTGTTTGTTTTTTTTTTTTTTTTTGAGACAGTCTCATGTAGCCCAGGCTAGCCTTGAATTCACCGTGTAGTTAAGACTGGCCCTGAACTCCCAGTCCTTCTGCTTCCGGCCCTAAGAGCTAGGATGAGACGTTTGCACCACCACCTTTCTGGTCCCCTCGCTCCTGATCTTGGCAATGCTTTCATAAGTACTTCCCTGGTTAAAAAAGAAAAAGAGTTATCAACACTCACACTTGAAACATGTGCAACTTTTTGCCTGTCAATTTTAGCTATATAAAGTTATGGGGTTTTCCTTTTAAGAGAAGATTATTAGATGAAATTTGGGATATATCAGTCATGAATATCTTTAAATGTGTCTCTAGAGGTCAACAAAACCTTCCTATAAAAAGTCATGTAGTACATACTTAAGGCCATAAAGTCTACTAAGAGCGCAACACCAGAGCAGACACAGAAGAGCAGGCATGGGTCACCACAAAGGAACAAATCTGACTGCTGCTTCCAACAAAAGCTCAGGACATTGAAGTCTGAGCTTTATGTGTTGATGTGGGATGTCCTGAATAAGTGTTGCTTTTATTGGGTAATGAATAAAGCTTTTTTTTTTGGCCAATAACTTAACAAGAGTAAAATCAGGCAGGACATAGACAGAGGATGCAAAGTCAAGAAGACACCATGTGCCTGCTGATGAAGAACGACACCCAGAACCTTTCTGGTATGCCACAGCCTCGTGGTAATACACAGATTAATAGAAATGGGTTATTTTAAGATATAAGAGTTACTTAATAAGAAGTTTGAGTTAATAGGCCAAACAGTGTTGTAATTAATTTAGTTTCTGGGTGATTATTTGGGTCTTGATGAACAGGAATAAAAGAGCAGTTTCTGATTACAATGTACAACAAAATATTTATTTGCTCCCCCCTCAAATATTTAAATATGTATAAAGGTTTCTTCCTTCACAGGCCTGATAAAACATCCCCTGCTGCAAACACTGGCAGCTATCCACCTTCTCTGCTAGAGAAAACAAACTAAAACTAAGGCAGCATTCAGACTAAACCCTAGACAAGAAGACACCTTTTTGCAAAGGTGTAGTATATCAGAAAATTCTAGAAAAGCACTAGCCAACTCTCCCTAGTAATCCCAAAGCTTCAAAAATTTCAGAACACAAACAAAATGAAAATACTAAGGTTTGGTTATGGGGGGGGCCACTAGGATTAAGACCCAAATGTTAGAGAAGACCAGAACAGACAGTGTCTTCTGGACAGGATAGGATAGGACCATAGTGCTCACCAATGCACAACAGCTGTGCTTGCATGCACAGAACCTGTAGAAGACATGTCAGTCAACTGCAGCACGCTGAGAGAAGAGGCTGATGGGGGAACCACAGGGGATGGCTGAAGGTGAGGAACAGTAGTTTTCTTTAAGCGTGTGGTC